TACACCTTAGGGTTCTCCTATGCATAGTGAAGATGAGTCTCTATAGGGACTGAGGATAAAAATGGGATAATGTAAACATGCCTCGCGGGGAGCGGTCTTCTTCTGGGGGGGAGGGCCAAGGCTCTGCAGTCAGATGCAGCCGGGTCTACGGTTCAGATTCATGCTGTGCTTGGGGATGGCGCCACTGGGCAAGCTTTGTGCCTAAACCTCAACTTCCTTCTCTCTTGAGTGGGGACAGTAACCTATTTCATAGGGCTGTTGCATCATTCCCGGCAGGTGGTAGGAGATAAGATTTAAATCGCGAGCTTACCCGGCAGCCAGGGCGCAGAAGCAGTGCACCATGGTAGATGACTGATAAATGAGACGTGGCTCCTGTCTTTAGGAGGCTTCCCAGGCTGAGAAGGTGGAGGTGACATGAATGACAGAAATGGAGCCCTGGAGGTAGTTCAAAGTCCAAAGAGGGCGCGGCCCAGGGCCACTACAGAGGGGAGCAAGCAGAGGCCTCCCGGGGAGGGAATGCTGGCAAAGGCGCAGAGGAGCGAGCGGGCATCCTGAACAGCCACGGGCGCTCGTTCCGCCTGGCCCCTGGGCTGGGTAATGGGTGTCATGGGAGATGAAGCTAGTGCTTGATGCCCGTATTCTAGAAGGGCGGGAGTTCTGAAATGCTGGAGGGGGGCAGGTTTTGAAAAAGGGATGGGTGTCAGCAAGCTGAAAGCTACTTCTTGACCAGAGCTGGGATGGCTCTGCTAGGAAGCAACTCAGCTTTGACCCATCCCAACTGTGTCCACGGCTTGGATGGGGCCACATTCAGTGACATTCCTCAGGATTCACAACACAAGACACAACAAACGGAAAGGGAGTCGGCAGGATGCTGGGGAAGGGAAAATCGGATGACTGCAGGCACAAAAAGGAGACGTTTAAAACTAAGAAATTTGGGAGCAGGAATGGAGGGGAGGGAAGAGAGGGGAGGAACGGGAGACGCAGCCAAGTAAGTGCCGATATAAATAAACCCAGCCTCGGAGCCTTACAACACCCGGGGCAGGGTGATTGTTATCCACGGCCCCGGTGAGGACTTTCAGGCCAGGAAAGGTGGTCACTCACCCAGGGCAGTCAGGAGCCCGAATGGCAAGGAGTCTGGATTTTATTCTAAATGCAACCAGAAGCCACTGGGAGTTTAAGCAGGACAGGACACCATGTGTCACAGCACCTTGAAGATCACTCCCGCTCGGTGGGATGGATGAAGAGCAGCGGGTCGAGGAACACAGAGAACGTCACACTGTCCAGGTGAGGCCACGGCAGCCTCAGCTACAGTGACTGGGTGGGGCTGGGGAGGCGGCTGGGTCTGAGTCACTCTGGAGGGATCACTGACAGTATTCACTGATAGACGGAAGGTGGGACAGGACAGAAAGGAAGAACTGAGGGTGACGTCTCAATGCTTGGCTTGAACATGGGTGGATGGCAATGCTGCACATCTAGATGCAGACTATTTGGGGACGAACAAGCTCCTGGAAGCAGATGGAAAGTCATAGAAAGTGTGGTTAGAAGTAGAAAGACTTCAGAAAGGGAAACTTGTGGGTATAAAGGAATGAGTCAATTGGAAAAGGAGAAAAGTGCAAGAGAGATAACAGAAAAGGAAAAGCCCCTTCGGGGAGGGGGCAGTCCGAGCAGTGGAAGTGAACCCTGATTTGCTTGGAACATACCTCATTTGAGGGGCTGCCCCCTTTGCCTGCCTCACCCCACTTGTCTGGTTGGTCCCTGGCTTAGGGCCACCTGCCACGCACACCCCAACCCTCCCAGGGCGGTCCTGCTGCTCCTAGACGACCTCCTGTCGCCTATGCTTACCTGATCGCTCAGTATCAAGTAGGTCTTGTCATCCCCAATAAAGTCTTGCTGTGTTCCTGGGCCAAGGTCAGGTTCAGCCTTCAGCGAATGCTTCTTGATCAAAGGCAGGAGGAAAAAAGGAAAAGTTGGGCACATCGTGGCAGGCGTCAGGGAACAGGGCACAAGCCTGGGGAAGCTTATGTGTATCCCAGTGGAGCTCATTCAGTGGCACTGTTGGGTGGGCTGGGGACTTGGGAGACACCAACAGGAGGGAATCTGGGCTGTGGGACAGGGGTGGGTAAACAGGACTTTACCCACCCCCACCCACCCCGGGTTGGCAATGGAACCAACCAGCCTATTGGGGCCCTTCCCCCAGGAGTGAAAACCAGTCGGACTAGATCAAGAGATTAGTCCCTTTGCGGTACTATACCCATTAAGGCAGGAAAGTAGACCCTTATCTTAGAAAGCTTTCCCCACTTTAAACAGTGTTTTCTAGCTAATGATTCAGTGAAACAGAAAACTGATCAATCAGAACTCCCCATTCCCCAAGGTTTCTTATTAACTATGACTTTGTAGCTTTTTCTCTGGAACCTTTAAATGACTAACATGGCAGTCATATGTGCAAATCTGGAGATTGTATGAAAAAGCATGCTTACTACAAACATGAAATCAATATGGGGTTTGAGATTTGCTTCAAAATAATTGGGGGGTCATATAACAAAATTGGTAACTGGGTGTTGGTTAAGTGGGGGTTCATTACACTATTCTCCACTTCTGTGTATGCTGGAGATTTTCTGAAATAAAAAAAGTAAAAAGCACACTTACTCATATTTAGGACGTGCAATCACACCACCTTACACAGGGCTAAGTTCAGACGTTCACATACAAAAAAGAGCTACTAAAGAGTAAATTGTTATATAGAATCAAGTCCACTTAATCAAGTCCACACCCAAGAGGAAATGCTTTTAAATGCCATTTAGAGATTCTTGTATCTACAACCTAAATTACTTAAGTTGATGTTTTATATTAGACATGTAATCTTAGTCGTCAACCTTTAAAACTTGTTCAGCATCTACCTTAGCTTGACATCTGCACCTGCTAGTTGCCCCTTCCCCTCCCCTGAAGTTGTGTCAGGGTCCCCACAATTGCCCCCTCTCTGAGAAGGGCATGAGGAGGGGGCAGCTGGGCTGGAGGAATGACATGGGACTGAGTGCCCATCAACAGGTCTCCTGAGAACCTGCTTTGTGCCAGTTCTGTGCCAGATATGGCAGTGACCATGGGACAGCAGGCCCTTGTCCTGATGGGTTTTGGAGACTGGCGGGAAAGACAAATGATGACAACACACATGACCGGTGTCCTTAGGTCGCACACTGGGTGTTTTGAGACCTGATTTTGCATATGTGCATGTGTGCACCCATGTGGGGGTAGGAACAGTGGGGCTGGTTCTGAAGAGCTGACCTTGAAGGATGAAAATGGGAAGAATAGGGGCTGTCAGAAAGGGGCCCTGGGAAATTCGTAAGTGTGAAACCAAACATAGTGTATTCCAAAGGCTGGAAAGAGCAAGAATAGGCTGGAATGGCCTGCAGAGGCTGGCTGGACCAGGTGGGCAGGGGGCTGGCCTAGGGGCAGGCCTGCCTCTGGGAAGCCCTGGGAGACCAGAGCGAGGGGTGTGGCTAGGCTGGGACTTTCCAAGCTCACACTGACTGTAAAGCAGAGCATGGGCTGGAGGGCACTGTTACATGAACCAACTGAGACATGATGGCAGTGGGGACGAAGAAAAGTGGATGACGCATATGGAAGACACTTAGAAGACAGAGTTGACAGGACTGGGGAGTAGGAGGAGGTACGGGGGTGGGGACAGCAAGGGTGATCCTCCAAGTTTGCTGCATGGAGGAGACATTTTAGACAGGATCCTCTAGCTTTCTCACTCTGACCCTGGCAGCCTCGCCACCTTGGAAGCGATTTTGATTTCTACCTCGGCAAACAGGAATAACCACACCACCCACTTGAGAACTGTCTAGAGGCAGGTGTCCCCTGCCTAGGAGGAAGGGGAACCCCTGGTACACTGGCCTCGCTCCCTCTTGACACTCCACTCCTCTGTTCCAGCATACCCAAACTCTACCCTTTTCTCCAAATTATGTCCTAAGCATGTTAAGTTTTCCTACACAACACGGGCTCAAAAAATGAAAGGAACAAAGCAGACACCTACTGATTAGCTCAACAGAAATGGAGTCCTTCTAGCCCAACGCAAAGTCCATGAACCACTCACCTCTCTCCAGGGCCCCTGGTTCTTAATCCCAAAATCTTGCTTTGTGTCATGGAGACATTTTTCCCCAGAAGAGGTGTGGGGGTTTGACCAGACAAGAGCTTATCGACCCACTGCATTTTAGTGAAGAGATACAGATCTGGGCAATTGTTTGGTGAAACACGCCAGCAGCTCCCTACAGAGGCTAGGCAGCCTGCAGGGGGACAGTGCGGCTCACCTTGGTGGGCTTCCCTGCCCAGGCACAAGGAGCTGGAGCACGGGAGGTGGGGGACACAGGAAAATGGGGTGGGAAAGGGAAGAGCTTCTAAATTAAGGAGATCATCAAAATCTTCTCAGCACAGGGCACATCTCTGCCACTCAGCTTTCCAGCATTTCCCATCTCTGGTGGTGCATCAGCGGGTGGCAGACTACAGCCACCTGAGACCATTGCCACGACCTGGAACCTTCTGGACTGGGGCCAGTGATGGCCACTCCAATGATAACCTTGGCTCTTAAGCACAGGGCACCATAGGTTACTGAGCACTCCGATATACACAACCTAATGTGAACCTCAGAGCCACCCTGTAACATGTGCAGGGCCAGTGCTGTCTGCCTGAGCTCCAGATGGGAAAACGGGCAGGTGTACAAGCGTCCCTGACTGTCCTGGGAAAGGCCCGCAGCACCAGGTACTGGTGAGGTCCCCGAAGAGTCTGGTACACTGGGTGTTTGCCCTTTCAGCGGGGCTCCTCTCTAGGACGGTGTCTCTCTGGACACGCCTCCAGGACCTTGCAGGCCTGGGGCCTCCATCCAGGGCTGAACCCACATCCACCCCAGCCTAAGGGAGTGAGCCCACCACGGACACTGCATTGTTCTGATCACACTTCAGCATCTATTCCACGGCTGGACAGGGTAGCATTCAAGAGCACACATCACAGGCTTTTCAAAAAATACAGCTTTTATTGTTTTGGATGCAAATATAGTTTGAAAACTGCATTGTAGTGTTGAACACAGCTGGTGGAAACGTGCATCTGAAGAAGGGTGGGGTATACGGGCTGTGTTCTGGGTGGCGCAAGCCTGAGGGAGCCTCTGACAACAAAACTTCCTGGGTTTTGTTGTTCAGACCACAAGTGGCAACTGCCTCCTAAAGGAGCCCTGACACAATCACTGAAGCTCACAGCAGAAAAATGAACCATTTACACAATGAACCAAAACCTGAAAAAGGAAGAGAACATGCTGGCTCGGCGGCTGTTACAAAATGAGCAAATGAATACGGTTTCCTTCCAGCGGGGGTGCAGATTCCGATACATAAGGGGCAGGGCATAGCCTGGAAAGGCTGCAGGCCAGCTCCCTCTCCGGAAACACAGCCTGGGCATCCTGTTTCCCAGGGCTGAGCCTTTCATACTTTCTAACAGCAGGATGTGAACTCTGAAAAAGTAGAAAACTTGGGTGTCTCCAAAATTCAACTCCTTTCTCTGCAAGCTCAACTCTTGGGAGCATCACATCTCTGTTCAGAAACCCAGGAAAGAATTCTTCAAATCAGTGACACCCAGGGCAGACTGTGGAACCAAGTTTGACTGGGAAATGGAGGTGAATTTTGCTACATAATTGGAAAGGAATTTCACAAAAATAAAGCTCCATTGAGTAAACACATGCACACACAGTCAAAACCAACATTCAATGTGAAAAGTTCCCTTTTCTATCAAAGGCTGCTTTTTGCAAGCCACGACAAGGAAAGAGCCCGCAGGCCATGAGTTGGGGAAGCCAAGGCCTCAGCAGGGAGGATGGGGCAGTTGCCGTATGGAGGCACTCGGAGGTCCTAAAGCTTCTCCCTGCTCCTGGGGCCCCTCTGATCACAAAACTGCGGAGCGGATCAAGACCAAGCAACCTCTGAGTGGAGCTCCCATCCTCCTGCCTATTCCCGCCGCCCCTTCTCCCCATGCAGATGTGGTGAAAACCTTTGTCAGGATACAAGGCAGGCATCAGGGCACCAAGCCCAAACCACTAGTGGCTCCCACGCTGCCCGCATCAGCACGCTCCCAACTTCGTTCACGAGGCACTGTATAAACCTCAGTTTTGGCAAGTGTTTTCAATTCTGGTGGCAGGTTTCACCTTCAGCAAAATGCTCAATAGGAAGAAGGGAGTCTGAAGGCAGTTCTTCCCACCGGAGCAAGCAGAGCAGCCCGACTTACATGAGGCTTCTCAGGGCTTGCGCGGCAGGACAGAGACCACTGAGGACCTAGTGGCCACAGGAGGGAAGGGACTGCTGACCAGCTGCTGTTCAGCCAGGCAATGATGGCCTGTGATCTGGGGAACGACCACTGCCCTGCTGCCTAGGGACTCATCTAGGAGGAAAGCCAGGACCTCCTGCAGGAGGGAGGCTCCCCCACCCCAAGAGGTCCACCCTGGGAGGCCGGCATAGTGTGACGCCGTCCGGAGGGGGGGTCTGCCAGTGTCAGGCACTGACATCACTAGCCACTGCACCCCTTCAACTGGGGTGGGACAAAGCGAGTGGGCACCATCCTGGGCCATGTCTCTTAGGAGTATGTTTGTATTTTTATTGGCCACAGCAAAAAATCCATTCAGACCTGACCTCTAGAAAGGGAAAGCGGAGTCAGGTCACAAAGACAGGAAGCAGAGGAAGTCAGGCGCCCAGGGACGCAGGGGTGACCACTGACTCCCCCGCCCACAGAACAGGGCAGCACTGGGGATCCCACTGCCCACGTGTCCCCCTCCTTGACAAGAGCCAGGACTCTCAACATTAACTGCTGACAGTGGGGTGGCTTCCCTCATGCAAGAAAAACCACCGGCAAGTAGCCAGTCTGCCCCAGGCTTGGAGCCCTACTCAGGGGTGACGGCCTGAGACGGGAGGGGTAAGCCGGCCGCCTCTCAGCCCACAGGGGCACTCGTGAAAGCGTGGGCAACAGCGTGAAGGGAGCTGACGGCCCCGAAAGATTTCATAGGAATACTTTCAGAGAATTATGTGCCTCTAGATGGGCTTTCTCTCCTTTTCAGATTAATTTTTTTTTCCAAATTGTCAGCATTTTTAAGTCTCTTTTATAGGAGTGGGGGTGACAATGCGTAAACACCCCACAGCCCTGGGGTCAGTGTCCACTAGAGGCCCCAGCAGACTAGACGGGACCCCAGGACAGAGGCGGACACCGAGACCCTCTGCCTAGTCAATTCATTGGGCAAGATTCCAAAACAAGTAAAATTCTGGGACAAGAAGCAATCGTGTCTGTGGTAAGAGATACAGAGCTGCAGCCCTGCAGCAGTGGTGAATGTGAGCACCAAGAGAAATGGCGTAAGTATCTCAAAACAAAACATGCACTTAGTGAACAGTCTGCTAGGGGACATTCTCTCTCTCTCTCTCTCTCTCTCACACACACACACACACAACAAACACAGTCATGAACATTAACTCAGGAAAGGGGACAGGAGAGGTAGGCTGAAGAAGTAAAAAGCCAATTTTATATCCCACAGACTTCTTTTAAAAAAAGAGACTCCCAGCAAGGGATGGGGAGAAAGCTACTGAGAGGTCTTGGCTGGCCAGGCCCAGCCACCCCATCCATGCAGCTCAGAAGGCACAGGGACTGGGGGAGCCGTGCCCTTGCAGCTAGGAGGGGAACGGTTTTTGTTTCTCCTTTTTTCCTTTTCACCCTGGTGAGTTCTTACCACAATGGTCTTCCCCTCCTGAAGGGCAACCTCACGTTTGTCCTGGGTGAAGGCTGAGCTCTCTTAGTGGAAACTGAGGACCAGCCCAGCCTCGTCTTGTGCTCGCCCCCCTGGGAAGTAACCGAAGGCCTGTAAACACATTTTCTGGGGAGGCTGAAAGGAGCCACCTCGCTGTGTGGGGCTGAGGCACAGACGAGACAGCAGGCGACTGGCCAGGGCCTCCGAATGCACCCGACTTTGGGAGGTAGCCAGGGAGTCCCTCATAGCCCTGCCCTGGGCCTCTGGCCAACCTGGTCCCCACCCCTGGTATGGAGTACAGAGGCCGAGTGGAACTTCAGGCAGGACGTTAAAAGCACATTCTTTCAAGGAGGAACCGCCTCGGCAGAGCTTCCTGAGTGCTAGACAGAGGGCTTCCCTGTCTCTCCTGCAGAGACACCAAGAGGCATCTGGGACCTGCTCTCCTACTGCGCCCCCTCCACACCCTACCAGCTGCTCTTCCCACATGCGGAAACAGCCCATGGCCCCCAGCAGTCCTCCACCTTGATCAAATCTGAGTGTGCAATTCTTTACTGTCTGGGAGGCTCCTAGAGACAGCTCTGAGGCTGGCCACCTCACAGTCCTGCGTCTCACATTCTGTTAGATTTCTTCCTCCAAAAACAGGACAGGACAGACTTTGGGCATGGTGACGTCTTTGGTCCGAGAACTGTTATGGTTTGGGGCTCCCGGTCAACGTTCCAGATCAGATGGCCAGGCAGACGACAGTGCCGTGGAGCCTGTCCTGTCCAGTGCTGCACCAGGAGGGCCGTGAGTGTCCCTCAACACCACTGGCTCACCCGAGGCTGCAGCTCGAAAGCAGGTGGAGAACGAGGGCAGGGAGCCGCGCTGGGAGGTGACGCCTGATGAGTGCCACCACTTCTCAATCAGCGATGCTGCGAATGCTGCGACACCAAGTGGAGCTAAATCACAACAGGTGAGGACACCGCCCAGGAGGATTCAGAGCCGGAGCAGCAGCTGTGCACTGTCCGTGCTTTCCTTGTTGTCCCACATGCACTCCCAGCCACCACCTTTGCACACATGCTGGGCCCCAGGGCACCCCAAGTGGCAAAAGGCAGCCTGCTATGCGGAAGCCTGAGTGGCTGTCTAAATCCATCTACAAGGTCAGAGTGGGAGGGAGAAAGAAGCCTTCCAGCTGCTCCACCAGCGCTCAGAGTGGGCGCAGGGAGCCGTTCAGAGCAGCACAGTGCCCAGGAAGTGACAGGACCCAGCAGGCCCTATGTTTGCTGACTCAGGGAGGCCAGGTACCTCCTCCTGTCTTATGTACTCCTGCACTGGCACCAGATAGACAGATTGCCAGCAGGACAGGACTCTAGTAGGCGGGGTTCCCCTTATCTAGGCTGCCCTGAGGGCAGGGGAGGTGGTGACTGAGGTCGGCTGAGTGAGAGTTCACAGCAAGGGGTTCCCAAAGATGGGCTATTGCTGCTGGCAGGACCTGAACTTGCTTCAGACCTGAGCTTGGTGCTCTGAGCTGTCCAGTGGGCCAGCAGAGTTGGGCACCTGCAGCTCTGTGTCAGGAGAGGGTGGGGCACAGCCTCCTCTCTGCAGGCAGGAAGCGTCTCCATGGCATCTTGGCTGCTAAGACTCCCCAGATCTCTTGCCAATTCTGGTGACAGCCGCGGCCGCCTGCTCTGGCAGCTGGGATGGGTCCGTCAGAATGGAGGTGGTGGTGCTCAGGTGCCGGAGGGTGTTCAGCGCAGCTGGAAGACAGGGTGGGGGGTTAGCTGGGGCAGCCTTGGGCCGCAGTGGACTGTGCACATGATCTCACAAATACAACCTGTGTAGGGTGCTCACAATTCACCAGAGTAGGAGAGGCACTGAGCTGGGCGAAGGCCGCACCAAGGAGAGCCCCCACATGGAGACCCAGGCACTCACGCCTGCCTGTGAGACAGCTCCTCGCATCCTCTGTATCCTGCACACAGGCTGAGGAGCCCTGCTGTTCCTGCTCACCCATTTGGCTTAATATCACTGTCTGTAACTGCAATATATGGGCATAGCTTTGCTAGTTATAAGAATTAAACAAGAAAATGTATGTGAAAGCACCTGAGATGGGGCCTGGTGAATAGCAGGTGCCTGGTGAATGTAGCGGGACACACACAGAGGCGAGGAAGCCCAGTAGCCGTGCTGGAGCGCCGCCCCGTGCCCTGCGGTTTGGCAGTTCCAGCTCAGGGCCTCTAGCACGGTACCGTCCTTGTGCCTCTACCACCGTCTGTGTGGCTGCTTACAGGGCACCGTGGCCTCCCTGCAGCTAAGGGCCCTCTCTTGGGGACTGACCCGAGGGGTCTGGCAGCCCCCAGGGCCCACAGCCCTCCTGACCCCTACTCACTTGGCCTGAGGACGGGGAGGGAGCAGTGCTGGTCCAGCCAGGACAGCGCCGTGCGGTGCAGCTCTTCCAGGCTGCTGCTGGACACCATCCCCTTGAAGGACTCAAACAGGGGCTTGATGATAATGCTGAACTGCACAGCATGTGGGTTAAAGAAAAGGTGAGGGAGGGAAGGAGGAGAAAGTCATTACGGCCTGTCCTGACTACCCTCCGTTGGGACTAGGAGCTAACTGGGTACAGAGAGCGAATGAGGGAGCTGGAGAGAAGATAATGGGTCCCTATAGCCCCTAAAATGTCTAACTGAAACTGAGTGACAAATTATGACCACTGAGCAGCCAGAGGCGGGGACACAGGCTTCTCTGATCTGGAACAGGTCTTAGTGCAATGACATGAACACTACAGTTTCTGAAGGTTTTGGCAGGAATTCCAGAGGCACCCAGCAGACCAAGAAGTGGCAGGCAGACTGTCCCTTCAGCTGGCCAGATTCCAGGCAGTGTCCACAGCCAGCCTACTACGTGCTCGGACTGCCTGCTCAGAGGCACAGTGATGGCTGGGTGGGCAGTAACCATGCAGGAGCTCCCCCTACAAAGGTCCTGCTGCCATCTGGAGGTTGAGCGTAGGCGGGCCTCGGTCCCACAGATGGACCCCAGGACCCTCGCGTGTGCACCCCTCATTACAGCATTAAGGCCTTGTGGCCAAATGCACAGAATGGCCTGGCAGGAACTGGTTTCAAATCCTGACTCTGCCACTTAGCCGTCTGTGAGCCCTGGCCTCCCACGACAGCGGAGGGGCCCACTCTCCCTGTGGCTGCAAGGATGGAGCAGGCTGCCAGGACGTGTAGATCGGACCCACCTTCCTTCCTGCATTACTGTCTCTGCAAGTGGCTCTTTAAGAGTTGGCCATATTTCTCAAGCACCTAGAGAGAAAAGCTGGCCTGTTCTCCCTCCCCAGGAAGTCCCAAGCCTGGGTGGTTCCCAGTGACAACCCCTCTCCACACCACGGGCCTGGCCAGGCCCCTCATCAGGGGAAGATGCCAGCAACCTGTCTTGAAGAACTCAACAGCCAATTAAACAGAATCTTCCTAAAGGAATTAGAGTGTCAATAGACACTGCCGGTGGGGGTGGGAGGAGAAGCAAAGAAAACACAAAGATACAATCCAGAACTTCCAATTCTGCAGAGTCCGGCTTTTCACGTATTCATCAAACATGTCTCTCATGTGATCGAACTGGTGCCGGCTGACAGGGACCCCCGTGGCGGGGAGCAGCTGCTGGCAGGATCTGAAACAACAGGGGACTGGGAGGAGGCTCGGGGCAGTGGTGGCAAATTCGGACCCTGAGGTGCTGACTGGGCAGGCCCAATAGGAGAGGTCTGGGAAGGAGGACGACAAAAAGCTAAAGGCCACAACAAAGAGGTGCCCATCAGTGACGGGCCACAAAGGGCTTCCTGCCTCTGCCACGGGGGCCTGGGTCCCAGCCTCACATGATGGCGGCATTGAGCTCCTCGATCTCCTCCCTGAGCCGCCGGGCTTCCTCCTGCGTCTGGCTCCGCTCCTGCTGCAGCTTGGTGATGTGCTCCACGGCCTTCTGCAGTGTGATGGCATGGCTGGTCTGCAGAAGGGCGGGCGTGGGTGGAGTGGCAGCACTGGGGCAACCCCGACTGCCCAGCCCTGCGGCCGCCGCGGCCCCGCCCACCCAGCCGCGCAGCAGCCTACCAGCTTGGAGTTATTAGAGACCAAACTGTTCAGGGTGTCAAAGCTCATCTTGATGTTGAAGCGTCTTTTCTGCTCGGCTGAAATGTGCTTCATCTGCCGGTTCTGTGGGGGGAATCAACCAGTCACTATGACACAGCCATGATGGCGATGCCAGGAAACCATCCCTGCAGAATGGGACACCAGGCAAGCGCCGGCACACAACTGTCAACAAATGCTGCTGACCCGTCACTTCCCAGCTGCCCTCCAACCTCTCACCTGCTGACCTGTTCCCACAGCTGCCACCTCCCTCCACATTCCAGGATTCAGGGCTGGTTCCTGGGCTCAGAGGCCCCCAGTCACCACAGCCATAGTGGGTGGGGGATGGGAGCAGCCAACTTAATCCCAACACTAAACAGCAAATGGCCTTGGTCCTGCCGCCACCCCAGCCTGGAGGACACCAGCCAGGTCTGTGGTTTCCTTCCCAGTGTGTCCCCAGTACAGGATGCAGCTGTCCTAAAGGTCTCTTGACATTTCTCCTCCTAGCCTCCCCACCCCTCCAAGGGAATCAAGACCCAAGAGAGAGACATATGATACCTTTAATGCAGTTACGTTTTTGGGGTCTGCAGATTTCCCTGAGCAGTTGTTCTGGGGAGACTGAGGACTGGGGCTGTGCTCCGAGGCACATGGAGAGGCCTGCCCTGAATTCGGGCACTCTCGACCTGAGAAGAACAGAGACGCACCTAGGGATGGGCTGGCTGTGCCAGGCACAGCAGTCCTCCCCCATGCAGGGAAGCCCCAGCAGGCCCCAAACCTCAGAAGACTGTCTGGAGCCTCCCAAGGAGGCCGCAGAGCAGAAACTAGAGAAATCCTTGCCAGCTTTGCAAAGGGGTTCTGTTAGGCCGGCAAGGCCTGAGGAAGGCTGGCTGGACGTGGGGTGCACGCTCGACCGGGCACAGGTCCTGGGGAACACGGAGAGTGCTGAGGAGGTCTGACTCCTATCCCTGCCTCCTCAAGGGCCCCCGGAGGCCAGCAGGGGTTGCTGCTGCGCCCGTCAGGCTCTAGCTCATTCCCCATGTGTGGAACACACAGGCACCTGTTTTATTTCTGTTCTTTCAACTCTACATATGTGTTTCTTGTGCTTTTTTTTCAAATGTTACCCACTTCCTGACAGTTTTTAATTAAAAAATATAATTCCAGAGAGACCGAGATGGAGACAACATGTGACCCACGCGAGCCATGCTCCCGTCACCAGTGTTCTTAGGAGACATGTCCAGGAAGACCCCCGACCCTTCAGCCGGCTCCACTTCACTGGACAAGCCCACCCCTCTACTGGGTCTCCTCCCCAGCCACGCTCCTGAGCTTCCCACACAGTGTGAACGGCTGTTCTCTGCCTGGGGGGACACTGTGTGCCCGAGCCCCTCCTTACACTACATCAGAGGCCTGACTTTCAATTCGCCTGTATTCTTCTCTCTCCAGACTGGAGATCCTTACTCTTCAGAAACCTGTCCTTGGACAAGTCCCTGGACTGTCTGATCTCCGTGCTGGGAGCAGAGACCTTTCCTCATCCTCAGGTCTGAGGAGAGTAGCATCTATTTATGTGGAGCTCCTGGGGGGCCACACCAGGGTTTTATTTAAGACAAGACATTCTAGGTCTTCCTTCCCCAGCCGGCACCTGAAAGGAAGCAGCTGGGCCCCAGTTCCCACCCCCACCCACCAGCAGCGCAAGGCTGCGCCGTCTATCCCTGACTCCTGAGCTCTGCACAGGTCACTGGGTGAATCAGTCCCACCCTGACTGCCTCCAGAAGGCTGAGGCCTGTGGAAATGGGCTCACAGACGCGCAGTGCTGGGGAACTGGCAGGGGTGACCACACTGATGCAGAGACAAAGCTGAGTGGCTTCTGTGGCTACAGCAGCCCCAGCCTCATGTTCTCTGGGAACTGTCAAGGACCCCCCAATCCCTTTTCTGGATCAGAATAGTAGTTCAGAGCCAGGCCTCTCTGAAGGGGGTCAGGAGTGATGACTCCCAAGCACACCAGCCATCCACGCTACAGAATGCCTGCTGCTCTGCCGTTACCCTGTGCTACGCAGAGCATTTCCTAGCCTGGGCTGCCAGGAGACTTGAGCCCACTGCACGTCCTGTGAGCCCAGGCTCAATCCTGGGGGCCCCTGGGTACCCCCTCAACCTTTCCCCAGTGAGGAGTGGGCCCGTGTGCCTCACTCATGAAGTCCCACCCGTTTCAAGAGCACGCACTGGAACCTGTGGCAGGGGCCTGATCGCCCTTCACCAAGGAGTCTTGTGCGGTGCCTGGAGAGAAGAGCGTGGAGATGGGGGCAGGCTGGCTGCCTGTGGGGTGGCCCAGGTCTGTTACCAGGAAGCCACTGTGGAACTCTGTAACTCCAGGAGCCTAGGGTGACACAGGAGAGGGACATCACCACCAGTCATGTTGGGTAAGGGCCCCCAAAAGGCAGGGCCACACTGGGGTTACAAGGACACTGATGGTCTACCCAGGGTCCCTCACCCTGGCGATGGAAGCAGGCGTGATGACCACACTGGACTGGGACACAGTGGAAGCCAACATCCCTTCTCTCTTCAGGGGGCCCGACGTCATAATCACTGCTTGCGGCTGTCCTGAAAAGGCAGCTGCCAGAACGGGGAGGAGGTGAGGGGGGCCAAGCCACGGGTCTGCTCCTGACGCAGTTGCTGAGCCGGTGGCAAGGGCACAGGGGGCTCCCCAGGAGCAGCGCAGACCCCTCTGCTGCTGCAGAGACACTGCCTTCCTCATCACAGGGTATGGGAGGACAAAGCGACCAAGGCACTTGGCATTTTTTTGCAACTTTTCCTTGAAGGGACAGATTAAAGACCCAGGAAGATGACCAGGACCATGTGTTCTCAAACTGGGTTCAGACTAACTTTAAAAGAACATAGAAAATAGACCTGGTCACACACGTGCAGTATTTCATAACACTTTTGTTTCACGTCACAGTATGTGTGTGTCGTGAGTCTGCAGGCCTCAAGGAAAGAGAACCGTGGAGGGGGGACTACACTCAGGCTTCCCCTGCCTGACTCACCTGGGGCGATGCAAGTGTTCTTCAGCACCAAGGACACAGACTCTGGTTTGGGAGCAGGCACTATTTTGGGGGGCTGCTTGGGCCTCCCCCCAGTCAGGGACACAGGTTTGGGGTGCATGAAAGTTAAACAGGGTTGCGGAGGCCCAATGGTAGGCGGCTGGGGGACTGGAGACAGCGCCAGGCCACAGGGGGACATTGCAGGGGTGGGGTGGTGGGTTGTGATAACAAGGCCCTGGCTCTGGCTGAAGGTGGTGGCAGAGGCGTCGTGAGTGAGGGTGGCAGAGGCTGTGTGGGTGATGACACTCGGTGACTTGCCGACTCCAGCAAACTTCTGTGGCTGCAGGAAGGCGCGTGGAGTTGGGGGGCTCAAGGCAGTGGAAGGAGGAGGGGCTAACGGCAAGGCAGGGGAAGCAGGTGCCGCGGTTGGGCTGGGAGAGAGCAAGGGCACAGGGAACATGGGCAGGAAAGGCTGTGCAACGCCAAGAGGCGGTGGCACAGAGGCACCGAAGTCTGTGGGCTGGATAAAGGGATCCCCAGGCCGGGAGGTGCGTTCACAGCCCTGCCGATCCATGGGGTCCAGAGTGGTAGCTGCAGGGGGTACAATGAGGCTGTCAGGGAGGCTCACGGTGGGGAGAGCAGTGGTTGGCAGGATGCTCTCCTGAGAAAGAAGAGAAGTGAAAATGAACACTGGGATCATACAACCGGCATCACTGCCCAGCGATATGCACCACTGAGTCCAACGTCAAAAGCCAGGCACCTGACATGAACCCCTAGAGAGGGACTCTGTCTCCTACCCCTGTTACACTAATCTGGGGGAGCTGGATCTGTGTATAATGGGAGTCCGCAGGGCTCTTACTTCTACTAGGAACAAAATGAGAACACAGGGCTCAGATAAAGTGACTGTGTGCACACAGAAGGCTCTCGGCTTGGGAATATCTTGTTTCTGGAGTCCAGCAGGGGTCCCCTCAAAGTCTCTGCCATCTTCTGTTACAGAGCACAGGCAGCCTGGATTGCAGCTGCTCATGGGGTCCCCCCAGGACAGTTTCAAGTGTCAACTTCTAGAGAGGTCGCCTCTTCCTAAAAGGAAAACGCTATAAGGAGCCAGAGGGAAGAAGATGGGGCCAGGTTACTGGTGTCTAATGGGATGCAGGCACCAGCCTGATCTATACCAGAGTCATATGGAAGATGGGGCAAGGTTTCTAGTGCCTAATAGGATGTGGGCACCAGCCCAAGAGCCCCATAAAGGCAAAGACCTCACTCTGCTCTGTAGCCCCAGTACCTGTTAACCAGCTTGTGTTAACTATTGAGTAAAAAGTAAAAGAAATACACAGAACTTTTTATTAGCAATTCACCTTTTTCTTTCCTGTCTTGCTACCCCTGTCTAAACTGGTCAGAACAGAGCTTGCTGCACACAGGTTATCTGGAGCTTTAGTCAGGAGCATCTATTTGCTGACATGGTCTCCCGCTGAGGGATGGATGCCTAAGGATGTCCTCAAGGAGGGCTAGGGTAACTTCTGCACACGTTATATGTGTAGTCAGCACTAGACCTAGCAACCGCTAGTGAGCACTATGCTTACAACTGCAGGTCAGCCTAGCCCAGCAAAGGTTTGACACCTCCCCAGTGCGCCCCTCCCTCAGCTCCCTCTACCTGAGCAGGTGAGTTGTTGGGATCGGGTGCAGGTGCTGAGGTGGGTGTAGGCAGCATGGAGCCAAAAATGGAGCGGCTGGAAGAGAAGAGGTCTGAAAGACAGCATCGGGGTCTTTGAGCTCTGTGTGGCCATCACTTCCTTGAATTAAGATCCAAACAAATCAGGCACTGAACGTACCTTTCCCAGAGGAATGCCATGGCCAGAGGGCATGCCCCACTGAGGTAACTCTACAGAATGAGGCCCTGTCTGGACTGCACATGCTGGCAACTAGGCATGGACTCTGAAAGATGCCCAGGCCTAGTGCTTCACCTGCTCACAGGCAGGAGCTCAGGACCAGTTCTGACTGCTGGAAAATGCTAGGAGGCAGCTGTGTTGCCAGCGCCCTCTGCTGCCTGAAGGGAGAACCGCCCATAGTCGTCATGGCCAACCCGGGTTCTGAGCCAGACCAAGAATGACAATTGCCTTGAGAGAACAATGTCCCAGAGAACCTTCCCAGACCTTGCACCTACTACACCCCCACCCAAAAAAATGAAAAATTCTAAGTACCCCCCACCCACTCTAACAGTTGCTCTATGAAAGGGAGGCAGTGGCCTGCTTTGTCCTGAGAAATGGGAGATGCGGGTAACCACACATGCTCTCTGCCCCATGGGCTCACCCTGGAAAGGTTCAAAAGTGTCCATGAAGTCCAGGTTGGGCTGCAAAGGAATCAGCCCTGGTTGAATCATGTCTGCATTTCCCAGATGTGCTGTAAGAATCAGAAAGGAGACAGAGGAATTATCCGGCATTCTCAGTGTTGTAGGAACATACGAAAGGCCTGGAAACAATCTTCCTGATGCTGCTCACATTCTAGATTCTTCCAAGGAGACATGTTGGCATCTGGCTGAAATTTCTACCTTCTGGTAGGTTTGTGGCCATTCTCTACCCTCAGAAGGCAGGGAAGAAAGTGGGGTTTTACAAGAAAAGTAAATTTAGTATCAGGGAACAGATACTCCCAGGAAACTGTGAATAGCTATGCAGATCTGCAGATCCTCCAGGTCTAACTTTCGGTCTGCGGGTTCTCCTCAGGGGAGCTAACTGGATGATGGATGCTGCCAGGTGGGAGGTCATGCCCAGAACACTTCTGATTTCCTTCAGAGTGAGTCACAGGTCCTGTGTCTGTCTTAGCCTAGGCACACATCCTCTGCTAAGGGGACAATGAATTAATTCAGACCAAGCCCCCTGTTTCTTTCTTGCCATGATGCCACAGGTCTGACAGCTGCCCAGGGAAGGCTCAGTTTGCAGCCCCACCCACTCAGTGCATGTGGCCCTCAGATGTCAACAAGGCTGGCCAATCCTTCTCCTTACAGCCCACCCTAAACAAGTGACATGGAGCAGCTCAGAGGCGAAGCCTGCCCTGGGGTCCTGGCAGAGGAGGAGATCAGCTGGCTACGTCAGGGACCTAGGGGAGTCTTACCTATCTCCCGCGGGTTGGGCCAGGCCACTGGCTGGTGGGAGGAGAGTGTGGAGAAAAGGGTGTCACTGAATTCTGACATGAGCAGGTCTGTGCCCAGCAGTGTGTCCTCCTCCATGGGAACTGGGGTCTTCCATCCATCCCCATGTTTGTGCCAACAAAACATGTCATCATCCTACCGCCAACAGAGGAGGAAGAAAAATCAAAGGGGCAACAGTGACTTAGTTTGCAATCACATCAAGCTGGGGAAGTATGTTAGCTATCCTATCACACAGAGTGGCAAGGGCTGCTATATGAAGGACGAGGTGGTGGATGGAAAGATGGTGCAGGGAGAAAGTGTCTCCGGCTCACACAGCAGGGAGAACTGGCCCGTTTTCTCAGCCCTTCATGGCCTTCATGTGAGAAAGGGCGACCCCTCCTTTAGCCACAGGGAGAGTCTGCATCTCCACCACCTTCTGCTGCAGAGCTCACCATCAGGGTCCCTCAGTCACTGCGGCCTCTGGTCAGGAGGGAGGGCATGGTCCCATGAGGGTTTTAATGACCCCAAACTCACTCACCTGAGCCAGGCTGGAGAGGTCCTCATCCTTGTGCTGTTGTAGCTGCAGATTAAAAGAGAGACAAAGTGGTTACCCAGGGCCCTGGGAGGAGATAAGGCCCTCAGCCTCTGCTCCCTAGAAGTGAGTGAACTCTGGGAGCATCTAGGCCTCTTTCCTCCGGGAGGCAGGCAGGGGGTGGGACTCTGCCCTGTCATCCCCAGGCTGATGCCAGGCACAGAGGGACTTTTCAGCCAGTGTCTGTAGAATAAACCGCCCTGGGTCACAGTTGGAGAAACTGAGCAAAAACAACATACAAAGCAGGCCCAAAGAATGCTGGGGCCCATGGGGCTGGGGTTTTGAATACGGAACTCAGTTTCCTCCCTCCCTACAGGGGCTTCCCAAGCATATTCTTGGTGGAGCCCAAGCCAGATACCCTTTTCTTGAAGTAGGTTCTCCACTTGTGATACTCCCGGATCACAATCTCAATGCGGCTTTTCCAGTACTTCCCTTCTGTGGTGATAGCCTGTGGGAGAGCCACAGGTCAGAATGAAAAGGCAGTGCCTTGGTGACTGGCAGACTCGACCCGGGAACACTCTTGAGGGTCTGGACTGGAGTCCGGGGTCAGACAGAAGGCCAAGGCGGGGAGGAGGCAGACCCTGCCAACAGCTGGGGCAGTACCCAAATGCCCTTAAGCAGCAGCCTCGGCCCCACTCTCAAAGGGTGAAAACCAATGAGCAATCCCAGAAAGTTCAGGTGGGACATGACTTCTGAGAATATCTTCGTTCGACCTCTGGAGGAGGCAGGTGAGAGGCCCTTCCACAGAATCCTTGAGGGCCGGTGATGAGGAGTTCGTGATGGCCTGAGAGCCGACTGCGACTTTCAGATTCCTGTTCTTTATGGCTGGAGTATATTAAATCAAGTCCCAGGTGTCACATAGGACCACAGAATTTCACCCAAAAACACTTCATTGTGTGACTCTGACAGTGAAGAATCTTCACAGTGAATAACACCATTATTACCAGACCTAACAAAATAATATTCCTTAATATTAACACCAGATCATATCCCACTGCTCAAAACTGCACCTCATTAGGTTACTTTCTAAGTTTTCCCTTTTCATCTTAACAGTAAGACACTCTTGGGAAATTTATAATAAAGTATAAAGTGAAAAAAGAGTCTCCTCTCCTACTCACTGGAATCCCATTTCCAAGAGGGAAACATTAGGAAAAGATTTGTGTATCCTAGACATTTTCTATGCATTTATAATCACACAGATACACTTTTAAAAACTGACACAGATACTAAAACACTGTTGTACAACTTGCTTTTTTTAAAAAAATTTACTATTTCTTTAACATCTTTCCATCTCAGTCTGATCTTGAGGTCATTCTTTGCTAAAGACGTCTGGCTTATAAGGAGCCAAAAGTCCTCCCCTGCAGTGCTGACTTCCGGAGAATCACCGAAGTCAAAGCAAAGTGGAGATAAGTCCCAATTGGTGAACTCCTCAGTCCTTGGGCCAGACGGCAAGAAGGGGAGACATTGCAGTGGAAAGCGACTTTCAAGAATATCCAGTTTGACCTCTGCAAGAGGCTGTCAGAGGCCACCTGCCCCAGATCCCCCTTGCTTCCCAAGGTCACAGGGCTGATGGGACAGCACAGGCCCAGTTCCCATCCCCCTGGTCTCCCAGTGCAGAACCCAACCCCTGCCCCTAGCCCTCTGTGAGCCATTTCCTCCTGGGCGAGGACGGGGCACACAAGCCGAGTACCTCTGGCCTCCGATGTTCATCTACTTCAACAGAGCCATCCAGGGGGGTGACGAAGTGGCACACCGGATTCTTGCGCTTCTCCAAGTCTGGGTGGTGGGGGGTGAGACATCATTGCTGCAACCAAGACCCCTGAAGGAGCCCTGCCCCTTGTGTCCAGACCTCCCCTAGGGGTCGGACCCCGGGTCGGGGCCCTCCCCAGTGCTCTTTCCTTCTTCCCTTTGAAAACAAGACTTTGGAGAAATAAAGGGGTCTGGGCTAAAGGAAAAGAATCTGCTAACAAGCGGGTAAGAACAAGTGTGGTTTATCCGGAGAATGCCAGCCCAAGCCCCAGTCCCCAAGCACACCCCTCTCCTGCAGCAGTAACAGGACCCACAGGTGCTCAGGCCAGCTGCAGACAGAACGAGGCGTGCACCTGCATCTCCTTAGATCTGAAAACGGGGCTGTTCCCTGACTAGAAAGTCACCTCTCTGCTACACTCTTCCTGGATACTGGAGAAGAACCAGCCCCTCTCTCCCCTTCTGCCTTTACAATATTGGGCCCAAGTATCTGTCATAACAGTGGGCACGTTATGGGGTGGGTGACCTGCGAACACTCGGTCTCCTGCAGACCACCAGCACCTTCACGACAGAGACCACTTGACTAACCCCCTGTGCCTGACAGCCAAGAAGGGTCCAGTCAACTAGGATTTGGCTTGGTCTCCTGTCTCTGCAGACTGCCCGAGAGAGGCTTTTCTTTAAGACACAATGTTCCAAGAGTGGGCTCTGGGGTCCCCTGTGCCAGGGCCTTCAGATAGTGGGACCTGGAGGGCTTGCTCCCCAAACCCCCCACCCCAACGCCCCAGCTCACGCAGCACTTACACTGCATATACCATGCCCGCCAGATGGCGTTATTGAGCCGGATCTTGTCTCTCCACTGGAGCTTCAGGCCCTTGAAATTCTTCCACTTTGGAGACACCAACTTCCCACTGAAAGGCAAGATGAAGAGGGGAAACTCAGAGAATGAAATAAAATAAAAAAGTGCCTCCCGATCTTCCCAGGCCTCAAAATTGTGAGTCTCATTTACTTATTCATCAAGTGTTAAGCACCTGTCCTCTGTCATGCGTGTGCTAGCAATGGAGGAAGGGACAGATGAGGCAGGTAGGCTCCCACCCTCACGGAGCACACAAGTCTCTGAGGCCTACCTAAGTCCTGTCTACATGCTAAGCATTGTGAAAATGAGCCGAGGCCTATGGGTACATACAGTCGGCACAACCATCCCAGTCTGAGCAGTCAGGAAAGGCTTTCTGAAGGAGGTGACATCTAAACTAAGGTCTGAAGGATAAGGAAACTTAAGCTTAACAGAGGAGAGAGGGAGAGACTATGCTGTTCCTTCTGCCTGGTGTGTGATGGGCCCTGAGGCGAGCAACAGCACACCTGGTTAAGGCACTGGAAAACAGCATGGCTGGAGCCGGGAGGCGTAGGGTGCTTCCAGACCAGGCTGGAGAGCAGAGGATACACCAGAGTATAGTAAAACATATAGTATGGTATCACAAGTTGGGTCAGACCAACACTCTCCCTCCCCTGTAAGACCTTCCAGCAAACTGACTTCTCGCCAAGCAGGTGGTTCCAGGAAAAAACAAGAAAAAACACACACAAAACTGTCCCTATCTTTTTATTTCCTTAATGGGGGAGTTGGGGAGGGGACCGCTTTCCTGTAACTGATAGCTTCCTTGTATTGAAGCCCAGAGTTCAAAGACCACTTTCTCTGTGCCACCTGCAGAGATGGTTCTCGAAGAGGACAAAGAAGGACAAGGAAGATAATAGAGAATGAGGACTCCTGGGAAGAGACCAACTCTTGGTGCTATGCAATGCCTGTTAAGGAGTAACCACTGGGCTTAAGTAGAAACTGAACCTATCATGGGGTCCAAGTAGAAACTTGGACCCTACCATGACCGACCGCCCTCCTAGAAGACAGGCTCCTGATCTAAAACAGGAAATTTACAAAACAAATGTCTCTCTCCAAACCATTGTTGGATGGAACTACTGAATTCTTCAGAGATGAGGCAGCAGGCTGCTTTGGAATGGAAATCAAGTGCAAGCCCTGCACAGACAGGAGCTGGAATTAAGTCAGGGTAAGGGGGTGCAGAACTGGGCTGGGACTTTGGATTCTGTGCACCCCAGGTAGGACTAGCACCTAACTCCTGGTCAGACCATTTCTGCCCAAAAGCAAGCAGGCAGAGGGTGGCTGCCTGTCACTGTCACTGTAGACCAGAAGAGCGCTGGGGTCCGTTCATCTGTTCATTCAACCAGATGTGCCTGTTATGGGGCAACTTGTCCTCACCCACTGGCAAATCATTCCCAGCTCTGCCTCCTGGGCCCCCTCCCCGCTGGGTACACTGGGTGATGTTACCAGTGAATGTGGAAGGAGGAACTGGCATGGGCAGCCCAGGCCCTCTCCCCTTCTCCTCCTGGGAGCAAGCTGCCCACCTGGGGCTCATATTCATCATGCTCTGTTTCTACTGAGCCTGGGGTTCACTCTAAGCTACGTCCTCAGCTTGATCAACAATAAAAGTAGTATTCTGGCCATCATCTGCTGACTCTTTCTTATTGTGTTAAAGTACATATAACATAAAATTTGACCATTGTAACCATTTTAAAGCTAACACTCCAGCAGCACTAAGTACTTCCACACTATAGCGCAACCATCACTGCAGCCTCGTTTCAGAACTTTTTCCCTCACCCCAAGAAGAAACCCTGTGCCTATTAAGCAGTCACTCTCCACTACCTCCTCCCCCAGCCCCGGGCAATGACTAATCTACTTTCTGTCTCTCTGTACTTGTTTCTTGCAGACATTTCATAAAAACAGAATGATACTGGTTTCTTGAACTTAGCACGACAATTCAGAGGTTCACCCATGTCATGGCAAGTGTCAGCCTTTTTATGGCTGGAATCAGTCATATTCCACTGGCTGGAGGGACCACAGTTGGTTTATTCTTTCATCCATTGATAGACATTTGGGTGGTTTCAGCTTTTGTATACTGAACAATGCTGCTGTGAAGTGACTCCTCTGTTTTACTTCCCAATCAGTGCAGAACTCAGGCAGGGGAGAGATGTCTGATCATCAAGCTGGCACGCAGACATCACGACGGGCAAAAACTAGAGTGAGCTTGGTTGGTGGGCAAGTGGACAAATGTCTATCAGCAGTTTAAATGCACATCTCTTTGACCCACAATTACAATGTTAGGAATTGGTTCTACAGACCCATCTGTAAGTGGGCACAAAGACAGAAGCAAGGGGGCTCTAAACCGCAGTGCTGTTTGCGTAGCAAAAGGCTGGAGGCAGCCTGCTTTGGTTCAGCCAAGGTTCCTGGTTTTAACACTATGTGGTAAGTCCACACAGTGGAACACTGTGGGGCAATGAAAACAACACACTTTATGTGCTGATATAAAGGCAAGATCTACACAATGTATTAAGTGGGGAAAAAACCAAAGTGCAAAGATATACCACATGGGCACCATGTGCATTTCTAACAGGGAGACAGATATGCACACAGACAAACACAGACACCACACACATGCAGGCAGGGAGGAAACAGCCAGCCAACCTCAGGAAGGATACACAGTTAACAGTAAATCAGTGATTTCCCTTTGGAGAGCTGAACTGGAGAATTAAGGGGTTCAGTCAGAGACTTAGTTTTCACTGTTTACTGTTTTACACTGTTTAAATGTAACAAAAATGTGTTATTTTTTCAAAATAAGGAAAAAGACCAGGTACACCTTATATAGCTTCTAGTTAACTGGCAAAGGCAATTAACCACATGAGCAAGTCATTTTTGTCCAAATATGAGGACAATGGTTATTAAGTGGCTTTTCTAATGAGTGTATGGATGAATAATGCTCGGACTGGTCTCTCTTCTGGGATTCAGACTGTTTCTTCAAAAGAGCAGTCTCTGGGCTTTTCCTGGGATCTGGGCCTGGTTCCACAGGCTGCTAGAAGCCAAAACTAACAAGCTCCAGACAGACAAAGGTTCATTGAGGAGCCAAGACATGGGGAGCTACAGGCGAGAGGCATGACAGAAGGAGGGCAACGTGTCTCATGGAGCCGCCTGGAGCCTTGGCCCTCCGCCCTCGGCCACCGCCTGCACAGAGCCTCCTCCCAGAGGAAGCCCATGAGGTTTTCAGGCCCTGCTCCCAGCTGAGGTGTGGATCCTCTCCTGTGTCCAAAATTCATGCTCCTTGTGGGTCACTTGGTGTCTAGTTTTTTTTCCCACAGTCCAAGAAAGTGTTGTTGGAGAAGCAGGCTCTGGTGGCAATGGCAGCTCTGGAAACCCCAGTCCCAGATCTGTCCTTCTGACAAAGTGAGTGTGTGTGGGAGTGTCCTAGTGCGTCTAGGTATGCATCTGCCCCCATGTGTGAGCAGTTTGTGAGTGCCTGGGGTTTTCTACTTTGGTTAAAAAGCAGGGAGTAACTAGTTCCATGACCATCAAAAATAAGAACAACCCGAGAGAGCTGAAACCAGGCAAAACCGGACTAGCTGTAAGGTGACATCTTCACCCTGTCCGCGCATACCAGGCACCCATGTCTTTGGAGAAGCATTCCATCCTGTGTGCTGGCCTTCTTCCTGCTGAACACACACCACTGTGTGGGCACTGTCACTGCCCATTTCCAAACAAATGGGGCAAGCAGAGTGGTTTCCACTTTTGGAGAAGAAACCCAGGCTGTGGGCGCCCACCTTCTGCAGAACAGTGACCACGTCCACCTCCCAGGAGTGTCAGAAGGGTGACAAGCAGGCGTGGAAGGACCGGGCAAGGCACAGAGTAAGCGCCAGTCAAATCTGGGGCATGGGGCTGAGTATTTGTTGGCTCTTGGGTGTGCTCCTGAGTTTTACTTGGTTCTTGGGCGTGTTCCTGAGTTTTAAAGCCCAGAGTTTCTGTCAGATTCTGGCCACAACAGGACTTTCACACTAGGCAGTGCACCACTGAAAGCTGTTTTCATTCATTTATTTGCCAGGAGAATAAACTTGAATCCAGAACCCAGGGTGATCCTGACTCCTCTGAACTGGGGACAGGATCAGACTTATAACAGGAAAAAAGTGGTATGTCACTCCAATTTGCATCATTTGTTAATAAATTATTTAAAATCTGTGTATTAGCTATGTGTCTCTTTCACTTTATAAGCTACTTGTGTCTCTGTCTTTTATTTTTTTTTAATTTTGAAGTAATTATAGACTCACAGGAATTCTCAAGAAATAGTACAAAGAGTTCCATGCACCCTTACCTGCTTCCCCAGTGGTGCCATCGTCTGGAGCCATAGCAATCTCAAACCAGACATCACTTTGACTCATTATTTTTAACAAGCCATCTGATCTTACTCGGTTTTCACCATCCACTCAATTGTCAGTCTTCTTTCCTTGCTATTTTATGTTGCCAATACTACAATATTAATGATACTAAACATTTGTGATGTTTCTGCAAAGGTTTCCCCTAAATTTTTAAGTTTTACTTCTTTTTTTAAATTTTTATTAAGGTATTATTGATATACAGTCTTACAAAGGTTTCACATGAAAAAACAATGTGGTTACTATATTTACCCATATTATCAAGTCCCCACTCATACCCCAATGCAGTCACTGTCCTTCAGTGCAGCAAGATGCCACAGATTTACTATTTGCCTTCTCTGTGCTACACGGTTTTCCCCATGATCCCCCAGACCATGTGTACTAAACATAATACACCTCAATCCCCTTCTCCCTCCCTGCCCACCAGCCCTCCCACACCCTTCCCCCTCGGTAACCACTAGTTCCTTCTTGGAGTCTCTGAGTCTGCTGCTATTTTGTTCCTTCAATTTTGCTTCATTGTTATACTCCACAAGTGAGGGAAATCATTTGGCACTTGTCTTTCTCCGCCTGGCTTATTTCACTGAGCATAATGTCCTCCAGCTCCATCCATGTTGTTGCAAATGGTAGGATTTGTTTCTTTCTTATGGCT